GAAAGAAAGAAAGAGAAAGAAAGAGAAAGAAAGAAAAAGAAAGAAAGAAAGAAAGAAAAAAAACAAGAAAAAGAAAAAGATGAGTTTGAGATGAAGGCAGTGACAGATTTGGACCAGATTAGTTAAAACAATAGTCTTTTCAGTGGGAATGTGTGTCTGTGAAGAGCTGGACACTGAGGAAAAGTGAGAGAAACCACTGAATTTTGGATGCAGAGATGGCTACTACGATGGATCGCAAGAAGAATCAGTTAGTTAGGCCTGGACCAAATCAAGACTGGCAGCAAGCAGAATCTCATATACTTTGGGCATGAAATGTGAATGGATGATGGGCTAGGAAAAAATATATATTTGGGGAGGTTGAGGGAAGAAACCAACAGACAAAGTGGATGGTCTGGATCAAAGAAGTTACTGGAGTGTCCTTGGAAGGGCTGTGGTTGATCACCAGGGTCAGGTTAAGATGGCGAGCGTTTCCCCATGTGTTCAAAGACAAGCTCAAACTCTGACTGCACGGTTGTGGCTGGCATCTTGACCTTTTGGACCCCCTTGCAGCAACACCCAGGTACTGGTGGCAATCTCTTGGCCATTGCCCCGAATCAGCTGCTAATGTTTGTGCAGCCTCATAGGACTCCAGACATTTTTAAAAGTACTTATTATGCTTTTGTAAATTAATATATTATATTGTTTTAACACAATGATATTTATACAGTATTAATTGAAGGTCATTGACATTGACATATGCTGGCTAGAGAATTCTGGGAGTTGAAGTCCACACCTCTTAAAGTTGGCAAGGTTGAAAAACACTGGCATAAACAATGAAAGTGCAGGATGTGGGTTGTAGGGATAGATGCATCCACATGAACAACAAGATCGGAATTATGGAAAATAAGCTGATTTCATTCCAATCAGTGCACATCCCACCACCATGTCGAGGGGCAGAATGCAGATCACCTACCCATCCTTTGGATTACATCAGCTCCCTGTGTTTGCCAGCAGACATTGTGGCAGGCATGAGAAAAAAGGGCAAGGAAATCCCGGTTTAAAGAATAATCCCAGGTCCCATGTGTGGATTAGAGCATCAGTGTTGCCCGGCTGAATCAAACTAAAGCTCATTTCGTTCTCATGGTGGCCTTCCAGATGCTTCTCGGGGCCTTGGAAGAAGAGATGGGGACCCTTCTCCCACTCTTGCTGAAGTCTTCAAGACCAATAGCCCCTGATAGAGCTGTCCTTCTTGAATTTATCTAATCCCCGCTCAAAGCCACCCGAGTCAGTGACCATCTCCATGGCTTCTGGCAGCGAATTCCACAAGTTATGTTCAAAGTTCTTTGGATCCTGGCAAAAATGTGCAGTAACGCCCTGGACATCTCAACTTTCACGTCTGTCAGATGAGTGCCTTGGAAATGTTCCCCAAGTGGAGGTTTACTAGTGTTTTTAGGAATGGGCTCCGTTTGGATGAGCGGCCTGTGCAAAATGTCGTAATCCTTGTGGTCAGCATCGCTCTGAGAATTGTTCGCACCTTTCCGAAATGTGCTCCCGCCTCCTCCCCCCGCACCAAAAGGGCCTTTGGAAAGAAACACCCGGCTGTGCCTTGGTCTCACTCACCCAGTTCCAAATCTGCAGCTGAAAAGGCATCATTTTTGTTTGGTTTCGTTCGTCTTCAAGGGCGGAGGAATAATGAACATCGTTGACTTTAAATGCATTTCTTCACTGCCTCCTTGGTTTCAGCTTGTGGCTCCTGCAACAAGAGGCCCCTTTTCATTCCCTTCCGCCAACGGGGAGGGTGTCTTGGCATCCTTCCATCAAGGCTGGCAAGAAATCCAAGTTCACAAGGAAGGAGGGGAGAAACATCAACAGTCAAGGAACTTGAAGCAATCCTGAAGGCCACGGGGCTCCAATGAAAGGGGAACGGTTTTGTTGGGAGCCTAAACGGATCCCCCATTAAGCCCCATCGTCTCCGCAGAAGGTATGGCTTGGATCCCCAGGACCTGCCCCAGTTCTCGTCCGCTCTTTCGTCAAGTGGCGGACTCTTTCCTTTCCTCCCTTCCTTTTCCTCCCCTTCCTTCCTATTTTTTTAAAGAATCCCGGCTTTCAAACTTGCTGATCAAAGCTTTTAGGGCACGGCTGAAAGGCAGCGTGCTGTGTTTCCAACATTTGTCAGACACCATCAGGGTTGGGGTCTGGATCTTTCCCAGTAAAACGGGGTGCAGGCTTTTAGCATGCTGGTGCTGCAGCAATGAAGCAGGAAAAACCGGGCTGCCAGCTGAGGACCATCACAGTCTTGCATCCTTTCCTTAAACAAGAACTTCCATTTGTCCATCTCTACAATAGATGTACATTTTCTTAGCATTTTGTGTGGGAAGGGTTTTAGAAAAAGAGAATCAAATCAGCCGGGGGCTAGGTATTGCTCATAGCCGCTGAACCTTAGGAGTCTTTATTAGTTGGAGGTGTTGCCTGGGTCAGTTATCTCATTTTTGGCTGTGGGTGCAGGCTTTGGATTTTCTCAGTGGGGTGATGTTGAAAGTCCTGATTGTGAGCTGAAGTGCCCATTGATCGAGGGGGCTTAATCAATCCGTTCACACCCACACACTGGTGATTGAACTGCTCACTTTTACTTTAGTCTAGAGAAAAGACACCTTAATGCTTGTGATGGCACATGGTCAGGATTTACAAAATTAATTAATGCCCTGACCTGGAAAACTTAAAGAGGTGATTCTTTATTCATTTTTTGACAATTCTCTGATGTGCTAGATTAGCAATAAGTTCTGAACATATCAAAGAAACTATAATTCTTACTCAATGGCAGAGTTAACTTTCCATAGTGGAATTTAAACGGTGTATTTAACAAAATAATGAGACTATGTTATAGATTATGAATCAAGATAGGCAAATCTGTCCATTTTACTTTTATTTTTTCCATTCATAAAGTCACTTCCTGTACCAGTTTAATTTTTAAAAAATGAAATGAATTAAATTTTTTAAAATCCATCCTGTACCAGTTTAATTTTTAAAAAACCCTACAAAAATTGGTATTATTTTGGGACATTATTTCCCTTAAATAATTTGCAGACAGTTACTTATGCGTTTCTATGGATTTAAAAAATGAATATGTATAATAGAAATAATATTGCCTGGGTGGTCACAGAGAGGGTCTCCCAAATGCTAAATTGCCCTAAATAGCATCAGTTGGATGGACAAAGCAAGCGAGGGAAATACGTCCTACTGTTGTCCTGTTTCGGTTTGATATCCATAAATGTATTAATATGGTGTTATAAATACAGTGTTATAAATGTATCAGTACAGTTTAAGGATATAATTGTATTCTTGAATTATATTTTGGAGTTTATGAAAATTTAAAATCCTGGATCACTGATATGTGTTTGCTTTCAAATTTTGAACTGGTTCTCTATTGACAGAATAGATAGCAAGACTGGTCAGAATTTAATGATGTGTTCAAAAATTAGGCTAAAAGATTTCCTCCCCCCTCCCCCACACCAAACAGGGCTCAGGCTAATGGGTCATGTTTCCCTCTTGTTTCAGCAAAGGGGCGTCCGCCCTTCCTCTCCTCCCTCGTCCTCCTGCACTGCAGGGCACAAATGCTGAGCCCACCTAGTACCGTCCCTGAGAAGGGGGGGAGCCTCACCCCCAACTACGGAGGCCTGCAGAGTCTTATCTCCTAAGGAGAGTTGATTTTTAGGATACATATATATTTTCAAGAAGAATTCTGCCTCCCATCACCAGAAATGTTAACCATAAAGTTGCCACAAATCTTCAGGGTCCATCAAGTACCTCGGGTGAGTAACTCAAGTTACAACCGGTCCAGAATGCAGCAGCACATGCAGCATTGAGCGCCCCAGGTTTACCCATGTTACACCCCTGTTGCACAAGCTGCACTGGCTCCCAGTGTCCTTCCGGGTGCAATTCAGGGTGCTGAATATTGCCTTTAAAGCCCTGCGTGGCATGGGACCAGGCTATCTGTGGGACCACCTCTCCCTGAGGG